AATAGAGCTCTGCAAGAGACTAGGGCATTCACAATGGAGAGGTAATAACATAGTCTGGTTCTGAGCTTAGTGCTCTAACAAAGCAGTTGATTTCAGATATACTGGATGTACTACAATTTCTGTTGGAAAGCTGTTGGTATATTAAAAAATAAAAGTAAAATGTGAAATTAAAAATAAACACCCTTTGAAACTGCAAAATATCTGCTACTTTATCAGAAACTTAAAAAAAAAAAAAAGCCATTTTCTCTTGCCTGGAAAGCTTTACAGTATTGATGAAATTGTTTAACTTTGATCAGGTTTGCCAACTTCTGGTAGATGCTTCAAAAGTAACATTTAAGAATATGGCTAGATTGACTGCTTTCATTTATACAAATGCTGCAGGCTTCCTCAAAATAAACTCTTAGAAATGTTACCACTATTTATTTGAAACTTACATGCACTGTCTAATAATATATGATCAAGTTCTGTTTTTCTAAAGGCAAAATCAATATGTTTTGTGAAAGATGATATCAAAAACTCAGGATGAAACAGCAATATATAGAGAGAAGTATATATGTGTTTGTGCTACATACTAATGCTTAAAACTATTATTTGGGGAAAACTGTTATTATATCTTTAATTTCATAACTTATTTTGCATGAAGATAGTCATGACTCATTAACAGACAGGCTATTCATCTGTGTATCCTTTAATGTCTAAAGCATTTGACTGCTAACCAGAAGGCTGATGGTTCAAACCCGTCAGCCTCTCCACAGAAAGAAGATGGGGCTCTCTAGTTCCATAAAGATTTACCACCTCATAAACCCAGTGGGGACTGCTTTGACTTGAAATCAACTTGATGGCAATATGTTTGGTTTTGGTTTGGAAGGACCAGTGGATTATATTTTAAAAGGGGTCTTTTTTCTAGAAAGTAGATCTTAAATATCTCTTATTCCATACTCATTCAGGTGACGTGGGCACTCTATTCACCTCTAAAAAATATCCTGTAGTCCCCAGTGGGAGCTCTTGTAGCGTAGTGCCTAAGGCACTTGACTGCTAACCAGAAGGCTACTGGTTCAAACCCACCAGCCACTCCTTGGAAGGAAGATGGGGCAATCTACTTCCATAGTGACGCTGCCTTTGAAACCCAAGGAGGGGTCGCAATGAGTCGGGTCCGACTCAACAGCACATAACAACAACAACAACATAGTTCCCAATAGAGTTAAAGGCATGTATGTGTGTGTATGTGTGTGTGTGTGAGTGTAGATACACACACATGCACACAAATACATATATGGCACATGACACATACTACATATTTCTGAATGAGATAATAAAAAATCAAGGTATATTATACCCCTTAAACATCAATACTAAGTTCAATTAAGTTTTCCATGCTCTATATACAAAGATCCTGGAGCAATAAATGCAATTTAGAAAGTATTCTATAAGAAATATTAATAAATACATTAGTTTGCTACCAGTAAGGTAGTGAAGAGCCAAGCACAGTTTGAGAAAAAAATTCACACTATATAACTAACAAAATATTTGTACCCAGAATATATAAAGAAATTTTAAAATTTGATAAGAAAAATAAATAAATAAATAACACATTAAAAAAAAAAAGAAATGCTTGAAAGGTACTTCACAAAGGAGGATATCCAAATGGCCAATTAGTGTATGAGTATATAAAATGGTCCTCAACATTATAAGCCATTAAGGATACCCCAATCAAAACTCCAAAAGGTGTTACCACATGCCTGCAAGAATAATAATAACAAATGTTGGTGAGGACATGGAGGAACTAGAATACTCATGCATTGGTGATGGGATATAACAAGTACAACATTTCAGGGAACTCTTTAACAGTAACTGCTTGACATGTGCTTACCCTATGACCTAGCAATTCCACTTCTAAATAAATATTAAAGAGAAATGAATGTACTTGTTTTATCAAAACACAAGAATAATCATAATATTCAAAATAGCTAAAAAAATATGAAGAACTGTACAAATCGTCAGTTGACATAACACAGTTCAAAAACAGAATGCTCTGCATCCTAGTTTGGTAAGCAGTTTCTGGAGACTTAAAAGCTTGTGAGTAGCCATGAAGATACACAGTTGTTCTCTTCTCATCAGGAATGAAAGAGCATGAAGTAAATCAAAGGCTCAAAGAAGAAACTAGTTCACAGAACTCATATTCCACACGAACCATAGCCTCCATTTTTGAGTAATAGAGATACTCTCTATCATTGTTGTGATAGTGTTTATGTGACTGTATGCATTGGTCAAAATTCATCAAGCTGTACACTTAAAAAGGGAAGCTTTTGCTGTATACAAATTATGGCCATAAATTCAAAACATCTGACAAATAAAAATATCATAACAAGATGTATTGTGATGGACTGAATACCATCTTTCTTGATTTGGATATCATACTATTTATGCAGTTTAAGCAAGTGTTTCATTTAGGGCAGTCATTTAAAATGTTTAGTTCATATCAAGCTTGTAATCAATTAAAATATCCTATATGTGTCCACTTTTTGTCAAAACTAAAATGCCTTCGGATACATTAATTCTTTAAAAAATTCTATTACACACATCTAAGACCACCACTGTTGTTGTTATGTGCCGTCGAGTTGAATCCGACTCATAGCGACCCCTCCTTGGGTTTCCGAGGCAGTATCACTACGGAAGTAGATTGCTTCCTTCCGAGGAGTGGCTGATGGTTTGAACCGCCAGCCTTCTGGTTAGCAATAAAATGCCTTAGGCACTATACTACCAGAGCTCCTGGAACCTAGAAAAATCTTTTGGAATCTGCATATTACTACAAAGAACATCAGATATCCATACAGCTTTTTTTCATCCACAAGTGATCAACATGTCTTCTTTATAGAAAATATTATTCTATTTAGAAAAATCAGTTTGAATGTATTTATTATTTTATTTGTTTTGAACCTCTTTATATAGAGCATGAAATATTTATGTAGTACCAGAATACAAATATCTGATTAACTATTTTTGTCTTTGAAAATGTATGACAGATCTTTGTAAGTAAAGTTACTTATATCTTGATGTTATCATTTATTTTTGAAATATGTTGAATCTTTTTTTAAATATCACTGGAGCTAAATTATTTTAATTAACTAACAAATTACTGAGAGACTTTATTTTTAACTTATATTCTTTAATTCTTGTAACATTTACACTTTGAAGAAACTTCATATATTTTCATGAAAAAAGCTACTCTCTATATGCAAGTATGTCTTCATTTATCATATATATTTGTATTGCATTAGTAAAATTTAATATATGCAGAAAAGTACTTTCCATTTTTAATGCATAATGTTAATGTTAGTTTGATTTTGTAACAATCCTGTTCAGTTAATGTATTAAATGGACACACATACACACACAATCTAATTTACAGAAATTTTCTTTCAGTACAGATTCCAATTTATTCTCAGGCTTAAGGCTTTTCCATTATAGACCAAAAAAAGGTTCTTCTCCCAAAACAAATAAGAAGATAAATCTTGCTATATCATTCTCGATTACAGAAAACATGCTGTGTTCACATAATTATTTTAAACACTAAAATATTTTACATTATTTTGCTTTAAGATATATGCAAGAATATCTTAAATAGTATTATATTCTCAAAACTCACTTTCTGTGGACTTGATACTACTTAATAGTTTTTTATTTCTATTTATCCATGAATTTCAATGATTATGTATCTTATAAAAATCACAAAATAAGTAAACCATAACAAATGAAAATTTTTTTTTTTTTTAAACCAGCCATCCCGTTGCAATTTCTGGATACTTGAGCTCATCCTTTCTGCTTTCTGCCAACCTCCTTATTCAGAAATATCTTATTTTCCCAGGGAAGATATCTGCAACTTTTGAGCATTTAGAGGAAGATAAAATAAAGTCAGTGTATTCAAAGCAGTACACAATACAAGAGAAATTAACTTATAGATCTGGGTATGAATTAAGGCCTGCACACTAGTGGTTGGTTGATCCTACATGTACAGATTTACATAGAAATGTCAATGAAAGCTATTAAACTAGAAAATGCTTTGTGAAAGTCATAAAATGTTAGTTTACATTACATTTCAATCAACAATTATGAGTAATCAAAAACACTGTTCATTATCTATCTCCTTTTCTAGTTTGGCTCCTGTGACATGCATGAAAACCCTGTGAGCATCTGAATGGTCATTTCCAATACACAGGAGTGAACACTGGGGCTAGAAGGAAATCAACTACCATTGGTGGCATAATTATTACCATACTGAGAAATAATCCATTCATTTTATCAGTATTGAAAGTCATAAAAATAATACAGACATAAAAGTATGAACTCTATTACTAAGAAAAATGTTCTGTGAAATTTCTTAAAATAAGCAAGAAATGACTAAATTACAAAAATTATTTACTCTAATGAGTATCATTACAATCTACATAATACTTTTCAAATTATTTTGTAGGAAAATATATGCGTGCCTTGTCCATAAATAATTTTTCAAACAATAATTTCGAAATATCTTAAACTTGGTTAGCACTGTATTCTGGGAATTTGACACAGACCTTATAATCAGGGACTTATAATGTAGTTGAAAAGACAGGACAAGTCTCATTTACTAAAATCTCAAGTGAGAGGGAAGAAATCCAAAAATAATCAAGTTTATCACAAAATGTCAAGATTGGCAGAAGTGGGAACATGAGAGATGAATTCATTTTTATTTAAAAAATAAATGTACATCTTGTGTATGTCTTCTCTGTAACCACACAATTCGTACTTCCTACAACTATAACCTTATAAAAGGAGCAAATAATTGTGAGATTCAGAATATAAGTAATTAGCTGAAGAAATATTGATAAAGTCAGCAATATATCATTCCTTAAAATGTTTGTGCAGTTTTATGCATATTTTAAGAGAAGATAAAAATCAAAAACTGTCAAGTTATAAAGAGATGGCGAGTTCATCCCATTTTATAACACAATGGTTAATGGTACCTCTGCTACGAGTTGCTGAAGAGAAGGTGATGCAACAGGATGTAGACTTGAGTTTCCCCTTATGGGATTATGAAGACTAACATAAGCCACGACATTTCTCTGCAGAACCTTCTTGAAATCCTAAAATTCAAAAGAAGAATCTCTCTTTAACAACCAAACCAAAAAATATATACAAACAAAATATTCTACTTGATTCATTAGATACTGAAAAATAAACACTTCCTATTTAAAGTCATCACATTGCATCAGTATATTTACTTTTTTAAGAGCAATTTCAGACTATTAAGTAGAATACAAAAAAGTCATAGATGAATTCTGAATATGACTGGTGAGGAGTTTGGATATAACATGCCATAAAATATTTTAAAGCATGTTTCTGAGAATAGTAAAATTTAAATCAAGTGTTCTTAAACAGTTAACACAGTTTGGAATTCAACTTCAGATTAAAGACTGGAATATTGTTCAGAAATAGCATTTAATTTTATAGTCACTGAGTTAGAGAACAGATGTGGACATACTACTTCAGGGTTTAATGAAGCTAGCCCTTGTCTTTGCAGAAATAAGGTACATTTTACATGAGGTGACTCTTTATTCTGAGCACAATGGGGCAAAATACCATTGTGTCCCTGTAGATATGACCTAATACAAAAGCTGCATTTCATGCACATTGGTAGTATAAATTGATTCCGTAGAGCAGTTTTTCCACTTCTCTGCTGTTCCCAATCCCTGAAAATTGATCACTGGTCCTTCTAATAAAGTACTATTAAGAAGTCCTTCACTTTCCTTTCTTTCTTGCACAACACACACACACACATATTTATTGCATAATTAGTATGGGACAAGCTCTGTCGGTACAATGAATAGTTAAGCTCTTGGCTGCTAACTGAAAGGCCGGCGGTTCAAATCTACCTAGCAGCTGCACAGAAGAAAGATGTGAAGATCTGTTTCTGAAAAGATTACAGCCCATGAGGAAAGTGTACTCATCACATTGCTTACCTAGGAGTCAAAATCAACCTGACATCACCAGAAAACAAAACTTATCATGGAGACAATTCTACAGACATGTCCTCAAAATTGTATTACTTTAAGTCTTGGAAAAATGTCTTCTTCTTTCTAACACTGTCAGATGAAAGATTAGAATGACTTAAATACATTACAAAACAATAATATTACTCCAATTTAATGTTGAAAACTCAGCTATACCTTTGTGAGAGGTAATGAAACAATTCATCATAAAGTAACAAATATTTTAAATAAATAGAAATGATGAACTTTCAGCTAAAGTTGCTCAAAAAGTTATCTATTGCTACTTAAGCACTATGTAAAAACAGCATCTATTTACAGACTACCACATAGACACTTTATTTATATAAATGTAGTTAATTCTCATGGAAAGCATGAGATAGGATTTCATGTACTCATCTGAGGAAAGAGAGTCTTGGAGAAGTTAATGTTGCCTGAGAACCCACGGTTTATGACAGAGACAGGGCTTGACCATTTTGATTCAAAATCTGGAGGACTTCCACTGTAGGCAAAAACACTCACTGCCATTGAGTTGATTCTGACTCATAGCAGCCCTGAAGGACAGAATAGAAGTGTCCCTTAGGGTTCTCAAGGCTGTACTCTTCAAAGCAGCAGATTGCCTCATCTTTCTCCTGTGGAGTGGCTGATGGGTTTAAACCACTGACCTTTCGGTTAGCAGCCAAGGGCTTTACCATTTCACCACAACAAAGATACTTCATTGAAGAAATGGTACTTTTTTAAAGTAAAGAACTTACTAAGCAAACTGTTCTGATTTTCCTCAAGGATCCAGGTTAGTATTGAGTCAGTTCTCTAATAAAGCTATCACTATAAATCTGAGTTTTAAGCTTATTGACTAACATTCCTAATCGTTTTATCTGTAACTCTGGGCTTCAAGGGTTTTCTATGCAAGCAAAATTTGATAGGGAAACATGGTATGTCAACAAGTGCTTACCTCGCTCACCTTAACTAGGAAATACATTTAGTAACTAAATTGGTTTCAGTGGAAATAAAATGTTTTATTCTCAGAAGAAGTAGATTTAATAAAACTAGACAGAAAAGGAAAATGAATAACGTTTTAAATGCCTCTTCAGATGAAAACTTTACAAAATGGTTTCATGAATTTCATTTAAATAGTTATTGAGGATACAGTAAATTACAAAATATTTATTCTATAAGCCAATAACTAAATCTGTATATTGTTCATAATTTTCATTAACTCATATCCCCTCATGTCTAGTCATGAAAAAGCCAGAATGTGACTGAAGATACAATCAGGTGCCAAATATACATGCTTGAATATTCTAAGATAGTGGTCCCCAATCGTTTTGAGTAGGGAGAGCCTTTTTTAACATAAACATTTCCCTCTTGTGACTGCCGCATTATAGTAGTTGTATTTTTACTATTATTGATTGAGAAAACATAAAATTACCAAAAGATACTATGGATCAGTGAAACTTAACACTTAAATTTTTACTTTATTTACAAAAACAATATTTACTTAAAGAAAAATGCTTAAGTAAATGAAAAGTAACATTACAGATTCAATTTACTAGGTATGATATTTGATGCTTAGAGATTTAAGGACTTTTTGCAATAAATTTCTCATATATAAGAGTTCAGAAGATTTAGGTTCAGAACTACAAATGTTAGACAAGCTTATCTGAGATCACAGTTTAGAAATAAACATGTTCATTTAGGACTAACAAGAATTGATTGTGAAAGTTACTAGATAGCTATCTAGAAGGCTGTGTGTTTTAGTGGGATAAATTTTTTGCAATGTGAAAAGAATCATTAAATCCTTGCTTTTGTTATGACAAAAAAAAAAAAAAAACTTTTCCTGAATTAATAAAAACAGATCAGATCACACATATTCTCTAAATTGTTGTTGAACTTATTTGTATCTTTAAAGTAAGTAATTTGGAATAGAAGTTCAGGAGGATGGTTCAACTATTACATCTTTCATCCTGCTAACAAATTTGTCAATTGAAGAAGGTTCTTTTAGCAACAGAATATCTTCATTTGATTTAGCTCTTTTGAATATGGAACAAATATTCACACCACTTAATTTGCATATGGAAAAGCATGCCAATTTTCAGTATGTGAATCTTGATGAATTTTACAGAGCAAATTTTTTTTTTCTCATCCTTAAGACTTTTTTTACTTCAAGTTAAGAAGTTACATACTATTTTCTCTTACACACATTTTTGATATTTTATTTGGTATTCAATATATATTTTATCCTTTTTGAGTATTTAAAATAAAAAAAAAAGAAACAAGAGAATTTCTCACTAGATATTTAGGATTTTTTTTTTTTTTTAAAGAAAGTTGAGGGACTGAACCAACTAGAATGTCAAATGGTTTTATCATCCTAGCTAATATTGTGTTTTTTGGCTGCATATTTCCACCTTATCAACCTCTTTAAAAAAATAATGAAAAGCATAAGAGTAAGTAAAATATTTAAGAATATTGAAAGATTTTTGTGTTGTTAATATGGTACCAATCCAATTACCAGTTGTTATATTTCATTAAAAATGCAGTACACCTATAAGACACAAACGTATCTGAAGTTTTTGAGATTTAAATGCTGCAGATGTGTTCCACATGTACCTCCAGTGTTTGCTAGACCACATTTGGACAAAGGTTTCCAGTAATAAGTAGGTACGTAGGCAGGTAGGTGGGTTGGACGAAAGGAAAGAACAGGGGGAGGGAGAGAGGGCATGAGGTAGAAGGGAGAAAATTGCTATTTTGAGTCCAATCTCCACATTTTATGAACTCAATGCTATGGAGATAACATTTCCTAATTCCACATAACTCCTACAGAAACCCATTGCTGTCAAGTCAATTCTAACTCATACTAACTCTATAGGAGAGAGTAGAACTGCCCCATAGGGTTTCCTTGGCTGCAAATCTTTGTTGAAACAGACTGCCACATCTTTCACCCTCAGAGTGGCTGGTGGGTTTGGACAGCTGACCTTGCAGTTAGCACGCAAGCACTTTAACAACTAGGCCACCAGGGTTCCTAAGTTTCAGATAGTTAAAAATAAAGGAAAGGTAAAGATATATATCTCTAGCATCTATCAGGTTTGTGATCTAAGGTGAGCCACAATTACCAGGTAAACACTAATGTGGGTTTATCAGAGGTTAAAGGCCTCATGGCAACACAGATAAGATAGCTATGGATCCTACTCAAGCCACTCTTTACTAACTATAATTTCTGCTTGTTTTTTCACAAGTAAGCACAGCAAATTAGCTGACCTGACACCCTGGTTGAGAAGCACAGTCTTGCATTTAGCTTCAACAGTTTCACCTTGCTTCTTTAACAGAAAAGAAAAAAAAAAAAAAAACATAGTAATTAATGCAAATTTTAATTTACCTCTGCCCATTCATATGAGCCAATGTTGCCAAAATCTGTTCCTCCCCATGAACAGAAAACAATAGTGCGGTCTGGTCTCCATCCCTTCTTAGCTCTTAACATCAAGGCCTGGATAAAAGCTGTGATGATAGCAGTGCTACTGGCCCATTCCTGTCCATTATAACTGTGTGCAGTATAATGGTGACTGCCAACTATGATATAGCGGTCTGGAAACAGAAGAAAATAAGAGCTATTAAAAGAATACAGAAACCTTAACAGTAATTTAATGACATTTACATAACCCTATAGTAAAAGTGAGCAACGATTAAGCAAAATTGTTCTAATAATTAAGACTACTTTAACATTTTTCATCCAGTGTCTTGATTCACACATCTGTGTATAGCAAAACAGAGGCAGTTGCTGAACCAATTATGAATGTAGAGCTGAGATCCATATTACTGTCTTTCACAATATGCATATTAATTAATGAAGTATACAAATATGCCACAATGAAACCTTTATCTCACATTTTTTCCAGAATCATAGTGGGAAGTGCCCTGTAAACAAAGTGTGTATGCTTAGTAAATATTAAAGCAGTATTAATACATCAGAGGAAGTAGTTATTCAGTAGCTGCAGATGCTAAAACTATGGTAGTCAGGTATAGATTTTACAATAAAAGAAGTACTTATAAAATTAATTACAGCTTCCAAGTTATAGTTTTAGACCCCTCTCCTGTCCCTGAGGGGAGTAAATATATATATTTACTATACATATGTGTGTGTGTTCAACACCATCAGAATTCATCCAATTGCTACAAAAATAATCTTTTCAGATATTTTATTTTACAAAAGTATCCAAAGTCCATTATATTCACTATAAAAATGGTCTCAGTGACACATATATGTGGTTTGTTTAACTTTATTATCAGCTATTGTCAATAATAAGGTAGGCTAATAACAGACTGCCAGAATTTATTCTGATTTTGTTGTCAGCGAATGCTGTCAGTAATAAGGACAGAGTTTAGTTTATCTGGCCAGGTAACCCTATGTGTCCTCATGTAAAAGGATTTTCTTCTTCACTGAGTGTTGTTCATTTTGAGATGTCCTATACTATGATGGGGAGCTCTGGTAGCATAGTGCCTAAGGCACTTGACTGCTAACCAGAGGCTGGCAGTTCAAACCCACTAGCCACTCCTTGGAAGGAAGGTTGGGCAATCTACTTCCATAGTGATATCGTCTCAGCAACCCAAGGAGGGGTCGTTATGAGTCGGGTCCGACTCGATGGCACATAACAACAACAACAACAGCATATTATGACAGTTAACTGCGAAACCTGGAGCCTGCTAGCTTAGGTGCAAATCCAAGTTTTGCCACTAACCAATTATGTGAACTTTGAAAACTTATTTAACCTCTCTATTTGACAGCACATAACAACAACAACATGCCTTAGTTTGGGAGCTCTGGTGGTGTAGCACCTAAAGCATTTGACAGCTAACCAGAAGGCTGGAGGTTCAAACCCACCAGCCACTCCTCAGAAGGAAGACAGGGCAATCTACTTCCTTAATGATACCACCTCAGAAACCCAAGGAGGGGTGGCTATGAGTTGGATCAAACTCGATGGCAGTGAGTTTTTTTTTTTTTTTTTTTTTAATGCCTTACTTTTCTTCACTATTAAATGGGAATAAAAGAAGTAAGTACTTCATTCAGTTGTTTTAACTGAGATATTATTAGTAAGGCACTTTAAACAGTGCCTGACACATAGTTAGTGCAATACATATGTGAAATAAATAATTACATTATTCTGAATTGCGAATCACCCTTGAATTCACAGCATCAGGAAACTACTTTATGGAAAATGTCACTATGTGAAATTGTTTTATTTTACCACAAAGATATTGGAACCAGCAACAGATTTGACCTGTCGATATTATCAAGATTAAATTTATAGATAGATCGATAGACAGATAGATAGATAGATAGTAGATATGCAAATGTGGAAAGCCCAGGAATTGGTTAATTCATCTCCTAGAAATGTGTGAAAGTCCTACATGGAATTGTTGTATTCTTAATAAACCATATCTAAAAAATATCTTAACATGGATTGATGTTTATTTTTTTTAATTTTCAGTCATTAAATTAGAAAAGTCACATGAATGAACAGACACCACTCTTGTGCAGAATTCAAAGAAATAAGCTTTGCATATTATGCACAGAATAATAGTAATCATAAAATTTATTTTTAAGACATTCTGTTTTTTCAGATTGAATTTCAGTAAGAAAACCTCATTTATCTGAAATCTAGTATAATTTTCCATAATTGGGTTTTCCAATAACAGCTTGCAAGTGCAGCAATGATGATATATATTTCTAGGGTTCAATTAGAGATCTTATGATGCAAATTTATTGAAATGGTTGAAACTCAATAGTAACAATTTCCAGTTTTTTTATATGTTGTATTTAAAGATGTCATGATGAAAGGGTATTCAACGCTGCTGTGGTAAGGAAATCAGAGAGAATGAGTACTTTCCATGAATTGTCTAACTATTGACTGGCAAGGCATTGGTGGGATGTAATACTTGGTATCAAAATTCTCGTGGTTAGCAATTACAGAGTCAATTTGAATAAAGTCATGGAGGAAAATTACTGGCAATGAAAAACTTGAGTAAATGTCTCAACCAAATCAATGGAAATGACACAGAGATTGGTACACTCTCCCTGCATAACAAGCACTTCAGACGATAATGTGTGATTCAGCCTAACGTATTTGAAAGTGTTGCATTCATTTAACTCATTTTAGTGCCAGCTATTTTTTCACTTTTTTTAGCCTGCATAATATCATCTGAAGATTCTATCAACAGTTCACAACAAGGTATCAAGTTATCCTAAAACTAACCAGGAGGTCATTTTCCTAACCACCATTAAAACCTAAAAGTCATACAAATATTGCACACAATTGTAAGAGGGCGCAAAGTTGAGGAAGGCACATAGATTAACATTAAAACATTAAATTTAGAAATAAAAAAAAAAAGAAAAACTATTATAGAGACACAGCATTAAAACTAAAATTGTTTTCTCTTTTAAAATGTCTTTGCTTCAGAAGAACTCAGAAATTTCAATGGTGCTATGTCTGGTAGCGTAGTACCTAAGGCAACTGACTGCTAACCAGAAGGCTGGTGGTTCAAACCCACCAGCCACTCCTC